TCTTTTGCACTGGACATGAATCTCTCGGTGACTGTGCTGTCATCTGCATATCCAACAATACCTGGCAGAAGAAAGTCATTGACGTGCAGCAGGAAAATAGTCCCAAAGAGAACAGACCCCTGAAAAAGTCTGGCATTAATGTGCATTAGATCAGGAGAGCAGCCACCTATGACTACTCTGATCGACCGTTTACTCAGAAATTCAGATACCCAGTTGCAAAATTCGGCGGGGATGCCGTAAGCAGGAAGCTTACTCAGCAGACTTGCGTACCAAACCCTGTCAAAAGCCTTCGAGGTATCGAAAGAAACTGCTAAAGCTTCACCGTTCTTTTCGATGGCTTCACCCCAGAAGTGCGTGACATAATCGTCCCCGGTAGAAGCCATATTGATGATCACTGAGGAGGTCATTTGTTTTAAGGTGTATCAGCAGCTTACTGTTGAATACCATTTCCATAACTTAACAGAGTATGAAGGTGATGGCGATGGATCGATAATTACAGGGATTGGCACGCCCACCCCTATTGCGTACTTGATGCACAATGGCAAACTTCCAAGATTTTGGCACTCTTAGAGTTTTAAAAGAGAGGCGGTACAGGAGCGTCAGAACAGGAGAGAACTCAAGCGCAAAATGCTTTAGTACCCTTGCAGGATTACCATCAGGTCCACTGGGCTTGTTTGAGTCTGGGTATAGGCTATCTAGCATTAGGCTACACCTCTCAGCTAGCCTTAAAGATTGATTTTTGTTGAAGCGCTCTAGAACTACTTTATCTGTGTGAGCTGGCGTAATGGTTAGTGATACGTAAATACAATGTTCTACGAAAATATAGATCTTTCCTCCATTTAAAAAAGTCCGCGATACCATGGGCCGTTTTCTTATGCATAAGTTTCAATAGGGTATTTTATGATAAAATATTGAAAATTAAATAAAAAAGAATTAAATTAGAAGCTCTCTTCTTCGCACGCACCCACCGAGCCCTAACTTTGCGATTACGAGCTAAAACCCAGGCCAGGTAAGCGAACTCTTTCCGAGTCTTAGCATGAGCACAGTCTGCATTATACCAGGGCCGAGCCTTATGACCGAGCGGTATGTCGAAGGCCGGAATAAAATATTCCACTCCCTGCCGTATCACATCCGCAATCGCATCGGCGGAGCAGGAGGGTTCAACACTTGCCGCTACGGATAGTGTGCAAAAAAGTGCCGCACCTCATCAAAATTAATTCAAGTCAATCAGATTTGTTTTCGATTTGATTCGTCTATCAATCAGAATCAACCAGAAGATTCGTCGTCCTTCAATGTACTCTCGGTATGGGTATGTTAAAAAAAAAGATAAAATATGAAATATTTTTTATTTTTCCCATGACATCAGTACATTTACGTGCTCATGCAAAAAAGGTTTTCTATTAAGGAACAAAAAGTAGTTACTAGGGGCTATATCTGGGCTGTATTATTATTATTTATTTTTAATACATTACATTTTTAATTACACATTACGTTACGGTACAATCACAGGTTTATAAAAACTTTACCGTGTGCCGGTATCGCCGACACTAACAAATATGAAGGTGTAGTAAGAAAAAAGAAATATATGGGGATTAATTTCCTCAAAGCAGCAGTCTCGTACAAGCAGTCTTGGAGAGCCGCATAGTGTGAACCGGTGCGTTGTCATGAAAAAGCTGCACTCCCTTGGTCAGCTTTCCTCTACTCTTTTCTTATATTGTTTCTCTCAAACGGTGTAAATTGTTTTAACAAAAACATTAATTTTAAACTATAACAATTCCTATAACAACAATCATCAAAATCAGGAAAAATCAAACCTTGAAAGTAGCGGTATAACTTGCTCACTTAATTCTAAGGACAAAATTATTTAAAAATCAAAATGTTTAATGTAAACTACATTAAAGCGTATTGCAGTAGAGGGTTCTTTTAGTTAATTTAATTTCAGTAATAAAATATTGTCGGCTTAAAATTAAAGTTGATCGGAGCCGCGAATTATAGTTATTCATAGAATGGCAACACCGAAGCGTATTTGTTTGATAGAGGTAGAATTATTAGTCGCTAACAAAATTAGGCGCTCTGACATTTTACTTTTTTACTGTCATTACTATTTACTGATATGGTACATTAAATTTTTGCCAAATAATTCAAAATTTACAATATTTACAGATATTGTATTATAATGTCAAGCGATAAGAAATATACTGATTTATATTCGAAGCCAAATTATAAAAATATAGATGTTGACAAAGACACAATGCTACAATCACTGTCTTCTATTACTCAGGAAATACAGAGGCAAGTATTGATATAATTGTTTTCATAGGCACTTCTCTGCCATTAAGTAATATTTGTTTGAAAAAACTCAAACAACATGCGTTAGTCATGATCCCTTAGAATACTAAGTCATAATCATGGAATTAATGTAGGTATTGTCATCGCAATTTCAAATTATTGAGTCGTCTGGAAGTGGGTGAAAACTGAATTACAGAATTTCATTAATACATAAAGACTTCCATTCATACATCCCATCCATGCGTTAAGATAACATTGATTTTTTATAGCATTGGGTGACAAATGACCACACAGCTAACACGCTGAGTGAATGCTGTGGCGTGACTAACATGGAATGCCTCGATTCCACTAAAAAGGATCACCGGTTCTCTACACTCACCATACGAAGCACAGGAGCATTATGCTGCTATTTTACGCTGGTATTCTGTGAGAGCGTGGTCCTGCCCCAGTCGAGCCGACCCATTCGTGCTACAACTATAACATAGGTGTAGCGTGGCTCTACCACGTAAAAAAGTGTGAGCATGTAATAAAAAATGGAGATCATAAACTTTTTTTTAAGAGCTACTTATGCCAAATTGATAATTTTGTTATGTATGCGAAAATAAATTGCGATTTAAATGTCTCCACTTTGTGCATAATAGTCTGATGGCTGACCTCCATGACCTCCCTGAGAATCCATTTTTATTCTTATAGGATAAGGGTGACAAACGAGCGCACAGTCCACCTGATGGTAAGTGGTTGCTGTGGCTCATAGACATCTACATCTATCCTTGATTACGAATCAAAATGTAGATGCATTGTCACCCATGAGTAAGAAGATGGAATTCTTCTTTCCAGTAAAAAGGGTCATCGGTTCTCTACACTCACCATTCGAAAGAGCAGCGTTAAGATGCTATTTTACCCTGGTATTCTGTCTGTCAGCATGGCTCTGCCACAAAAATCCATAAATCTATTTAAATCCATAACTCCACACATCCGTGGAATGGCCATGGGTGTACACATCCGTGGTATGGCCATATAATATTAAAGAAAATGGTAATAAAATCTTTTCATAAAACACGGATGAAATTTAGCCACAGCAACGGTAAGTATAGTAAGTATAGTATAGAGCCGTGGTAGCTCAGATGGTTAGCGCTCGCAGTAAATTTCACAGCACGCGAGCAAACCGGGTTCGATCCCCGTCGGCACCAATGAAATTGTTAATTGCAAAAGTGCTGATTTACCATGTGCTCGGTGGTGAAGGAAAACATCGTGAGGAAACCTGCATATCAGAGAAATAAGAAAAAAATATTTCGAAGACTTTTGAAGTTCCAACACGCATTGGAGCAGCGCGGCGGACAATTCCTTGCTCTAAAACCCTCTCAAAAATGAGCGGGAGGCCTGTGCCCAGCAGTGGGGTATAGGCTGTAACTTTACGAACGGTAAGTAACGTCAAAGGTGAGAGATATATGACACTGCAGTATACTGTCTCTCCACTATGAGTGAACTCTTTAGGCTGGTAGAGAAAGAAAAGAAAATAGAATTGAATTAATTATCTGTTTATACAAATTTTATTGTGTAATTTTGTATATTAAGTCAATAAATCTTGTAAGTTTACTTACCTAACATTTTTTTTCGCTTCTTAAAAGTTTACTTACCTTACATTTTTAATTTTTATTACTAAAACAACCCATTAATCCGTTATTTGGGTCTGTATCAAAACCTATCAAGACCGACCCATAAAGGCAATTCTTGGACTAACTGCCATAGCCTATATTATATTAAAACTATTTTTTTTCGTCACAGAAAACATATCAAGTCGGTAATCGACGATACTTTGAATTGTTAGTTGACTGATGTGTGAATTTTTTATTTAGGCTCTCAATTTAATATATTCCTTGTAGCACGGAGGCACGGTTCACCGCTAGTAAAATACGTATCTTGCGCCTGATCTTTCTGCAGTCATGTAGGATTAGAAAATGCACATGCACTATAACCCAATCCTAGCTAGTCTCCGTCGAGACTGGCTGTAGTAATCATAATTCGGTCTGGAGGACATTAATATTATTATTATTCATCCTAATAACGGACTTTAGTTTATTATTTATATTATTTTGACCAGCAATCTTCAAAATGTTAATGTTATAATTTTAATGTTACAGCATACATTATACGTCCCAATTACATAGGATATTGAATCTCTATATTATCCCCCTCCTCTCATTTCTGAGATGATTTTAGGGCAAGGAAATGTCAATACTTAATAAGGAATGTGTAATACGCGTTGGCGAACTTTAAATGTCTTCAAAATAAATTTTTTTATTGCTCAGCAATTCAGGTTTCTTCACGCCGTTTGCTTTTACCGCCGAGCGCTTGGTAACTCAGCAATAAATTGCAATAAAATATTTCATTAGTGGCGGCGGGGATCGAACCCGAATTACTTGCGTACTGTGAAATTCACAGCGAACGCTTTACCCCTGAGCTACCACAGCTCATCTTCAAAATGGACAAAACTATTTAAGCAGGCTACTTTTAACACAAAACTGAAATCTTAGTTTTGGTCATTCTGGACTAGAATTAAATAAGAAAATTTTATTTATTAGGTTTTCCACTAGCAAAAGGTCTAAGCTTAAATAAAACATAAAACAAGTAACTGATACCAAATTCTTCTTTTCAGATTTCACTTTTATAACGATTTTTACCCCAAAAATGATATATTTGATATCATAAAAATGTATAAGTTGAATTTAAAATCTAAGAATAAGCAAATGAAAACATTAAGTGAAAATATCAAAATAGCATGCTGTAAGTCAGAAACAAATGTAGATATAAATTTACAAATATAAAATTTTTGTCACAAGTGTTAGTAGGTAAACCCTTTAAAATTATTTCAGTTATAGCAAAAGCTGTCATATCGGCTAAAGAAAAACAATCAAGTTTAACAAAGAATTTCGTTGAAACTGTCCAAAATGAATCTGCAAAAGTATTAAAACAGAACGAAAGCTACCAAAAAGTTATTGAAGAATTAACGAAAGAAAACACTATTATGCATAATAAGATCGACAATCTACATAATTGGATTCAGTTGGGTTATGAAAAAGTGCGGAATATTTGTAACGAACCTTTAGAAGATTTAAACTTGTTTACGAAATTTAAAAAAATAATAATATACTGCGGTCAATACTATGCTGATTATCAAAATGAAAACCAGAAATGTAAGCAATTAGAACAAAAAATTAGATTTTACCAAAACAAGTTGAAAATACTAGAAAGTAATTTAAAAATTGTTACTGATGAACTCAAGAACATTCGTTATCAAAACATGAAATTAAAACGCCAAAAGAAATATAAGGAACAAATATGTTTTTTATCGAATATTCCTATTACTTATTCTCAAAGTCCAATTCAAGAGAAACTTTATAATACTACCTCTCAGAAAAACATCCAAACAATTCATGAATCAAGAAAAGAATCGAAATATAAACAATTTGACTTATCGTCACATTTTCTGTTAGTTAAAAATTTACTTATTGATCAGGAGTCTATGCTTGAAAATTTAAATCAATTGTCTAAGGATCTAAATTATTTTGAATTATAATGTATATAAGAATAAAAGTTACAAATTGATTTATCCTGCTGTGTTTTATACCATTCTTGAATAAAACTAACAATTTTTTATATATTAAAAAAATATATATTTAATATGGATTTAAATTTATTTAGTGGGATTAAATTTTCTTTAAACATTCTGCTATGAAGCGGCGCTTGATGTGGTTTACGTGGGCGACCGCCTAAGTCCGAATAACCGAAACAAAAGTACATTGGCCCAAAGGGCCTCGCACACCGAAAGTTCTAAGAATTTTAATCTCAGAAAAATATTAAGCTAGAACTATGAAAGTCAGGAAATCTGCAATACACTCTTATCTAAGCCATCTGCAATTAACACGCATCCAACAATACGTCCTAGATCTGTAGTTTATTAAAATTTCGTGTAGTAATATTTGCCGGCAATGAAGTGTCTACTATCTAGCGCGGAATTTCCCATTCCATTTGCTTCATGTGTCAAATCTCTATGTTTGTTGAGTCAATTAGATTGCCGCGGGTTGCTTTGAAGTGATCGTTTATTTTACCCAATTAGCAATTCTTCGAAGTTGTTTCTAGTGCCATGCTGCAATTTATACAAAAATATCCTGTATTTGCCAAAGCAGGACAGTATGTAGATGTAACTAAAATTATTAGAATTAAACCGCTCTGCTTATTCAGGGTGAGCGTGATCCATAAGTAATTTAAAAACTATAAATAAATTAAAAGTGATTGTTGATTGCTAACTTGAAGACCAACAGCGTCAGTGACGTTGCTGGCGACGAGATAGTACTCTGAGTTATATTATGTGCAAACATTATAATTCGTAACATTATGATTACAACATAGACTTTTTTTTTATTATGTGCGAGCAGCTATGCAGGTCTAGGTAAAGAGACCAGTATCACTGCGACCTAAAAGATCTATTGTGATCGCTGCTATGGCTATAGTTCACAGCTAAGCCCTATGTCTTCAATGAATTGAAGGAGTTGCTTAGCCGTGAGCAATTTCACTTCTTCTGGGCGGAGTAAATAGTGTCCAGGATGAGTGTTACGTTTGCGCATTAAGGGTCCGCAATCAGTTAGGATGTGTAGAGGCGTTTCTTCCGTTATGGAACAGAACCGACACTTGAGTTGTTTAGTCTCAGGATGACATGTGCTTTTTAAGACGACAGTGTCCAGTTAGGGCTCTTGCCAGAATGCGCAATTTATTTTTACTTAATCCCAGGGCTTCTGAAGCGAATTTACGATCAAAAGCCCGGATTAAGGTTTTATAATGTTTTAAGCCTGGTGTGTCAGACCAGATCTTAAGTGATTTATTGTGATAAAGAGTTTCAAGGGTCAATCGCTAGGCTTCTTGAGATTCCACAAAATGGCTCGGGTCTAAATTGTGTGCACTTTGAGCCCTCCCGTGCAAGTTTGTCGACAAATTCGTTGCCTACAATACCCTCGTGACCCGGAACCCATCTTAAAACGACCCTGTTGTTACAACCCAGGGCGTTTAAACGGTTCACGCAGTCTCCAACTAGCTTTGAGTTCACTAAGTTTGATCTCAGCGCTAGCAGTGCTGCTTGACTATCAGAGTTTATGTAAATTTTATGGTTAACGTAGTGTTTTTGCAGATTGATTTACGCACACCGAAGTATGGCGAAAATTTCTGCCTGGAAGATAGAGGTGTATCTACCCAAATTCATACTAAGTTTGAATTTGGGGCGTTCCCCGTAAATTCCAAAGCCTACGTCGAGGCCCATTTTAGACCCATCGGTATACCATATGAGGCTACCGACCTCACAGATAACCTGGCCATTCAGCCAGTCTTCTCTGGAGGGTAATTCCATTATATACTTTTTATCAAAAGTGTATAGTGGACGCACGATATCTGAGATCGTGCATAAGACCGGTGATTCCTTAATTGAGTCGAGCATGGATCTCAATCTGTAGGAGAGCAAGCTCAGACCGCCCTGGGCGTTAATTCTATACAAACTAGCCCTCGCCTCCTTGTCTAGATAGAGATCAAGGGGCGTAAGGTATAGAAGTGCATTAAGAGCCGCTCTCGGCGATGATCGCATAGCTCCGCTTGCCATTAGACAGGCAGTCCTTTGTAGACAATTTAGTCTGTCCGCAGTCGTCTTTTGGTTACACCAGACAATAGAGGTGTAGGTGAGAATCGGCCTCACTATGCTGCTGTACAGCCATAGGACCATACTGGGACGCAGGCCCCAGTTTTTCCCGACCAAACCACTGCACGTACCTAAAGCAATTTTTGCCTTACGGCATACGTTGCTAAGGTGAGAGTTCCACGTTAGTTTTTGGTCGATTGTTACGCCCAAGTATAACTTCCGTGGAAAATGGTACTTCTTTGCCTTTAAGTTTTGGTTGGACTAATTTGTCCAACCGTCTCTTTTTGGTAAAAGGTATTATAACAGTTTTATCAGATTAACTGATAAACTGTTATCCCTACACCAGTTATTTATGGTGTTTAGGGCTCTTTGTATTCTTGACGATAAAGTACTTTGGCAAAAGCCCCTTGCAATGATCACAAGGTCATCAGCATAACCCAATGTGTCAATGCGTAGGTCTGCCATTTTGTACAATAGTTGGTCAACCGCAAGAGTCCAAAGAAGGGGTGACAAAACACCTCCTTGTGGGCAGCCTCTTGTGGTTGCAACCTCAATCGAAGTTTGAAACAGCGCTATTTTTGCCTTTCTGTTTGAGAGCATCGACTTCACCCATCTGATGGTTGTGGGGTCAACATTTTTATATGTTAGGCCCCCAATCAGCAGTGATGTGGGGCTACTGTCGAAGGCGCCCTCAATATCTAGAAAGGCACAAAGAGCTATTTCTTTATCCTCCAGTGCTTTTTCGACCCTATCAATGACACTGATCAGGGCTGTTTCCGTAGATTTGCCTCTGCGGTAAGCATGCTGGTTGTAATGTATGGGCCTCGTAGCTAGAGCTACATCCCTTATATATCTATCTATAACCTTTTCCAATGTCTTAAGAAGAATGGAAGATAGTCTTATAGGTCTGAAGGACTTTGGTAAAGCGTAGTCCTTTCTACCAGCCTTAGGTATAAATAGAACCTTGACAATTGTCCATCGTTCTGGAATATATCCCCATGCAAAACTTGCTCTGAAGATTTTCACCAGATAAGGAAGAAGGATGTCGATACCCCTCTATAGTTGGATGGGAATTATTCCATCCTCCCCGCTTGATTTAAATGGTTCAAAGGAGTCAACAGCCCACTGCACCAGGTTTGGCCTTATTATCTTTGCAGCCCTACGCCAGTCCTCATTGCAAGGCCTTCGTAGGGCTCTGAAAGAGTTCAAGGCTGAAGTCTTGTATGATCCTGGGAAATGGGTTGACGCTAGTAACTCCAATGTTTCTGTTTCACTATTAGTGAAGTTACCATCCGGCTTTTTAAGAAGCCCGATCTGATTAGGTTTAGCTTTCGATCTTGTGTAGTCTTGCACTGCGAGGCAAAGACTCAACTTCCTCGCATAGCTTCCTCCATGACGCTCTCTTGGCTTTTCTAATTTCTTTATTATATTCAGTTAGAGCTGCACTATAAATATCCCACTCTTTGGTTTTCTTAGCCCTATTAAATAGTTTCCTGGTCTTTTCCCTAAGGTATTTCAGCTTAGAATTCCACCACCAGGGCGGAGCTAGCTACGGCACTGAAGCTGAGCTTCTTCTCCTCCGTTGCCAGCTTCACTGCTTGGGGGATTTTTCGGGGTGACCCTGGGGTTTTCTCTCTGTGTCTCCACTTCACGGCTCGTTCTAGGTTGGGGCGCACTGTTGCAGGGTGTTGGTGAGGCTAAAAGAGCCTCTTCCAAACCTGCAGTTAATTCCATTAAAGGAGACTTCTCACTGTCTTTTACAAAATATCGGTTTTCATCCATTTTGTTCCCACGAGTAGAACTTGGTCACCCCCGGCATAGCCCCGCATGCCGGGGGAAGGGCTAAAATACTACCCGAATCGCCCTGGTCTAGGGTAGGCAGCGTTTGCGACAGGCCTCCCTCCAGCCACGCATCAATCGGCACGGTACGCTTGACACCTTGGATTGGGTTGGGATAGGAAAAGGGGGAGGGATAAAAGAAAAGAAAAAGAGGATCGTCCGAGTTTTTCTGTTCTGTCTGTTTCCTATTGAACCAGACCAAATAACAGGTGGCAACCACGTGAAGGAGAACTCCTCAGACTTGCCCTGGGGATCAACACGACCTGCGCTCTCCCCCAGAGCCATACGCCAAACTGCTCGCCGGACAGGAGAGCAGAATAGGTGTTAATCTAGTCCTATTTATAATAACAAAAAGTTAGGAGTAGACTAACCCCCGCCCAACATAGACTTAGTACCTGTCCTCCATCTACTAACTACAAGAACTTTATTATTTTTGGATTCCTCTATACTTGTACTAACTTTAGGCAAGAACTTGATCGTATTACCGATGAAAATAGTACGTAGTTAATGATGTAAATCCCCAAGTTTTTTATCCGCACAGGCGGCTTTAAATGCTATTGTCATAATCTGTTCGCTGTTTTAAGCTGTAGTCAAAATATTCCCACATCAGTACATTGTTAATAATATTGGGGTATTTTACACCACGTAAATAAATAATAAACAATACATATTTATGGTAGGTTTTGTAAAAACCAATATTGGCCAACAACACTTTGTCAGTAAAGGGGGCTGCCCATTTTCGGCCATGGAACGCCCAACAATGTGAATTTGTTAAAAAAATATATCTTTATTTATGGTTATTAATAGCGGTATTCATTTATCCAAAAAAGATGGAAATATTTTTGCACAAATTAAAAGTACCGAACGGAAGTGGAACGTGGAAGCGGCCACACTACGTTTGTCTCATTGTGCATGATGAGCAATGATGAGTTCAACGGGGTCGCACGTATGGCTATGATGGAACGTAATAATAAAAAAGTTATTAGATTTCTTGATTTTCTGCAAACAGAGCCAAAGTAATGTTCCTTGAAGACTTCTTATATTTGTTTAAAATGGTT